GGTATTGCCCGGGGTTTGGGACATAATCGGGATGGTCGTCCTGGTCGAAGGTGATCGCCTCCCGAGACTAGTTAAGGTACGGGGAGCGGCCACCTTTATTGAGAAGACCTCCTGGCGCTCCTTCTTTCGCTGGCGTGCTGAGAGACACGCTGAAGGCCCGCCGAAGATCATGAAGGCGTTGCGCACCTCGGGGAACCCGTCGTCCTTGTCGTCGTCCCTGTCATCGGCACCCTTTCTCTTGGCGTCATCGTCAGGGAGCCCGAGCTTAGCGTAGTAGCGCCGAGCATGGTGCACTCTTCGAGGGCATGCTTCACCAGGAACTGGTGGTATGGGCAAGGTTTCTTAAGCATGTCGTCGAAGAGCCTGGGGCCCCTAGGGCCTCGGGGATTCTTGCGTTCTGCGGCCGCGACCAAGCCGGCCCCGAGGACCCCCTGGTTCCCCTGGCGGCCCTTCTTCTTCTTCTTGGGGAGGTGGGAAGCCGAGGCCCTGGGGGCCTCATCCTTCCGCTTCCCCTTGGTGTCATTGTCGAGGAAGATGGCCCCAACGGCCTCTTCACCTGAGGCGAAGTTGGTGGCGACGTCGAGCAGTACGGCCGCCGAGGTTGGCACGTTTCAGCCCAACTCTTGGACCAGGTCTCGGCAGGTGGTACCAGAAAGGAAGGCTTTGACAATTTCTGAGTCACCGACGCTTGGCAGCTCGGTGCATTTCTTGGAAAAGCATCGGATGAAGTCTCGGAGAGACTCGTCCGGCGCTTGGTGACAACTTTTGAGGTCCCAGGAGTTCCCTGGGCACATGTATGTGCCCTGAAAATTCCTGACAAAGACCCTGACCAAGTCGCGCCAGTCGTGGATCTGCGAGGCAGGGAGGTGTTCGAGCCAGGCTCGCGCCGAGTCTGACAGGAACAACGGGAGGTTGCGGATGATGAGTCGGTCATCGTCCGCGCCACCTAGCTGACAAGCCAAGCGATAGTCGGCCAACCAATGTTCGGGATTGGTTTCGCCGCTGTATTTCGTGAGGTTGGCCGGTTGCCGAAATTGGGCTGGGAAATGGGCGACACGGATAGCTCTGCTAAAGACTCGAGGGCGGGTGGCTCAGGAGAAGGACTTGCGGTCCTCCTCGCTGTCGTAGCGGCCACCTCGGTGCACATGGTAGCCTCGGGCGGGCCCCTCGCTGTCATGGCACCATCGCCTGCCGGCTACCTTGTGTTCGTCCTGCGCCTCGCGTCGGTTGCGTAGCAAGGGGACCCTGTTGAGTGCCGGCGCCCGAGCGGGCTCGGGATGAACCAAGGCCTCCCTATCCTGCCAAGGCGGTGCTGTGAGAAGTTTCGAGGCGCCACCGCGTCGCCGAGAGGCAAAACTTTCGGCCTGCTGCACTGCGGCGGTCTCGAGGAGATCCTGGAGCTCACCGTGGACCCGTCGCCCCTCCATGGTAGAGGGCTCAGGCATTGTTCAGACTAGCATCGCCGCAGCCGCGATGTTTTGGCTAGCGCGATTAAAGATTGGGGGCTGCTCTCCCCCGTCATCGTCGTTGATGCGACGGTGAACATTGCGGGCCCTCCGCCGGGCTCCTCCGCCATCACCGCGACCTTGCTGCTCCTGCTCGAGAGTGTCTCGAAGCTGTTGTAGGAGGAGTCGGTCCTGTTCGACCTTGGCCTGAAGTTCATGGAGCTGCTCCAGGTCCGGGCGTCGAAGTTGTGCGGGGTCGGGGTTCTCGTTCCATGATGTCGGTGGGACAACGCGTGGAGGTGTGGTGTCGCCCGTTCCCCGGTGAGGTGGGGAATGGTTGCCCGTCCCCTCGTCCTCATCGCCCGTCCTCAGCATCCCGAGTCCGACATGGAAGCACTCACGAGTGGGGTCATAGGCGCCCTCGTCGTCAGAGTCGGAGTAGCCGAAACAGTAGTCTCTCACGGCTAGGAAGCGGTGCATGGATTCAGGGTCTCGTAGTCCAGAGAAGTCTACCTCGGCCCACGCCTCGTCCTCCTCCGAGGTATCAGCGTGGGTGTGGCTTGAAGTCGTGGTGTCGAAGTCGAGGGCGAAGCGTTGGTGGCGTTCTGAGGGCTCTGCGTGAGCAGAGGCGTAGGCGGAAGCATAGGTGGCGGCGGCGTTTCTCAACCCAAAGGGGTATAGGGATGGTGCCATTGCCAGGCTATGCTCCGCCGAAGTCGATCCCTCAGGAGGCGGTAGGGCAGAGCTGGATGACGGGGCGTCGCCGCATGCCGCCGGCGCTTCGCCCGCGTCCAGGCTCAGGCAAGTTAGGTCCCCAATCAGGGATCTTAGGCCAACAGCTGGACATGGGGCGCCGGCAGAACGCGGTGCATCACCATGAGCTCGCATGGTGTCGACGTGGCCTCGCTCGCGTCGTGTCTGGCGAGCGCGATGAGAGCGGCCGCCCGGGCGCCGTCTGCGCCTGGGCTGCGAGTGTGTGATGCTGACATCGGTCGGCGGGGCTCGGGGCAGGAGGAGTACCATATCATACTCACGTCCTAGAGACATGAACTCTAGGCTCCCAAACCAGATCACCGTGCCGAGACGCAGTGGTCGTACGGGGTCTGCCATCTAGGACTTGTTGGGATGACGAAGTTGACACGCAGAGTCCCCTACCTGGCGCGCCAACTGTCGGTGTTTCGGACCGGGGGGTCCTCAACCAACTAGTAAATTTGTACTGCGTGCCCCTAATCTCGGATGGTGATGCAAAGAGACATAAGGTTTATACTGGTTTAGGCAATCAGTGCCCTACGTCCAGTCTAGGAGATCGATCTTGTATTCCTTGCACCAAAGTGCTCGTAGTAGGGGGTTACAAGCAGGGCGAGAGAGGGAGCTAGCCCCAAGTCTCTATGATGAATGGGATGAATTGCTCGAGACGTTGATCTAAGTGTGGGTGCTACAGCCTGTGTTCGTCTACCTCGTGAGTTCGTATGTGCCTAAGTGTGTTCCAGTTCATGCCCATGTCCCTCGTCCTTAGAAACAGCCCTGGTCCCTCCCTTTTATAGTAGAAGGGGGGATGGGGGTGATACATGCGCTAGTTACGTGGCATCGTGTGAACAGAGGCGGCCTGTCCGAGCCCTATAGCATGTTGCTGTGGCGGAACAGTCAATGGAGTGGTTCTGCCCTTGAAGTGCCGGAGCAGCGAGCCGGTCACATCCGATCCTGTACGACGTAATAGCTTGTCGTAGGGCCTGACGAGCGACGTGTCGGTCGTAGTGCGTTGTCCGCATGAAGTGCCAAGGCTTAGTCGGTGCCGAGACCAAGCCATCGTGGGGGGGGGGGCTCGGCAAGTGCGAACCCCAAGGTTATAGAGACCCTGAGGTGAATTGCCGAGGCATGGAGGGAGCGGCTGACCCTGTACACTGATTCCGAGGCTACAGGGATCCGAGCTTAACTCCCCATGCCGTGTTGTCCTTGGAGTAGTTAGAGTTAGGCAGCACAGTGCGGTATGGACATTAGTCGTGGGCACAGTGCCGCGCATAGTGGTCGGTAACTCCTGCATTGTCTTGTTTCGAGCGGCATTGTGTCGATGTGACTTGTGTCTCGTCGGCCACTCCTCTCGTGCCGAGCCGTCATCTGGACGACGTCGTGGGAGTGGTTGGTCGAGGCGGAGGCGATGGGGTTGTTTGCCGAGCCGACCTTGAGTTAGGTGGAGAATCGGTAACTCATCCGAGGCCTTCTAGGCGGGGCCTCGGGCGAGTCGGAGAATCGGTTTCCCATCCAAGGCCTCTCGGGTGAGGCTTTTAGCGAGGCGGAGAGTTAGTTATCCATCCGAGGCCTTGGACGCGCCCCGCGTACGATACGGGGGCCTCGGCGGTCAGCGTCGTACTCGGTTTAGGTGGAATAGTGCGGGACATGTGTCCACAGGGCACGGTAACCCTGTATCATTAGCAAGGGATGGTAAAAAGGAGATTTGACTGTTGTCCTATCGCCCCTGTCGCTGTACCCTGCCGGTCGTGGCTGACGTAGCTGATGCATGCAGGCGTATTTAAATGGATGAGACAGCCTGCCAGAGGGATGGTCGAGGCGGAGGCGACGAGGACACGGGACGAGCCCGGCCTCGGGCGAGGCGGAGCGGGATCGAGACGTCCGAGACCCTGACCAGGGACCTCGGGCGAGGCGGAGATTTGGTCCGAGACCGGATTCGGTCGAGCCGGCCTCGGACATCACCGTGAACTGTTTTCTTAGTTTGACTAAGGAGGACTCATGGGGGTTTTATGAGTTCTGTCGGCTTTTGCTTAGGGTACCCCCTTTTTACGGTACCCGACACAAGTCAAACAGCAGTAAATGACAGTTCCAACACACAAGCTCCACTAGCATTTTCTTAAGAGCTACTAACAGTAGATTACAACTACAAATCACTATTACATTACACCTAATAAGAGGTCCATACAAGCCATTACAATTACAGTCCCATAGAAAGTTCCGAATTACATGTACAGACATCACATACTACATAGGTCCAAGGTCGTACAGTGCAGATTACAGTACCATTACAACATTCTCTACATAGGCATGACTGGAACATGTACAAAAATCATAGCCATTCGAACGAGCTACATATTGGACAACAAGAAGAGAGGCATATACCAAAACCTCCATCTGCACCCTTCTCTTCGTGCCATCGTCAACTCCAACCACACCATGGCCTTACTACTACACCGTCGCCTTCATTATCACGCAATAAAATAGCAATGAAATTTGTGCACACATACTGTTGAACTTGTATCACAACTTCAACAATGCAACACCCCAAATTGCCATACCTACCAACTACCCTGCCAAGATACCAAAGGTGATCCAATCTCGCACATCAGACATATCATCACTAGCATTTGCTGCCACCCATGTGTCAGCGTCGTAATCTGCATCTCTTTGCCAGATCCTCTGTGAAGCCCTTCCTTCGCCGTGTTCCAACTCCCAATTGTGCAGCGCAAAGCATGCAATGATAAGCTTTGTTTGCTTCACTCTCTCAAAATACGGAACTAGGGCGAGAATGTGCCACTTGCCTTTGAGTCACCCAAATGCCCGTTCGATGACATTGCGTAGACTTGAATGGCGGAAGTTAAATTGCTCCTCATAACCTGTAGGTGCTGCGCTGTCCTTGAACTCATCAAGATGGTACCTTGCATTTCGATAAGGGCCCAAATATCCTTTTTTCACGGCGTATCCCGAGTCGACCAGATAGTACTTTCCTGTAAAACAACATATATCTCCACCATTACTTACACACATATCATAGCAAGTATCCAAGCAATCACGTACAACTAAAAAACTAACCTTCTGGTGGGTGTGGATAAGTTGGTGTCTCCAAACACTCTGTCAGCACCGACATGTCATGACTGGTCCGCCCTCCCCGCACTGACATATGTGAACCTCATGTCCATGTCGCATATGGCTAATAGCTTGTATAGCCTTTCCTATTTATGAAGTCCAATTTTGACTGACGACTAACAAGAGCTCGAACGTGAGTCCCATCTAGAGCCCCTATGCACCCATCAAAGTAAGGTGCATACGACAACAGGTCTCCATGTACTTTTCTAAACTTTGGATCCTTGGGACAAATAACATACTATGCCAATGAGAACAGGCAATTCGCAACATGACCCATCTTCCTACTAACTGTGTCCAAGGACCGGTCAAATCTCTCCCTAACCTGTCTATACGGCTGTCGACATGCACAAATCCAGACAAACATAGCTAAAGCTTCCCTGGACCCAAGTTCTTGTGTACTTTTGAGGCCATGATCTCTCACTAAGGTATCATGCAACCTAAGGAATGCGTCCGGATACATACGGAAGTTGTCATAGCACATAAGTCGGTTGCGCAAATTCAATTCAACCCATTGCGCACCTGTGGGCACGGGCAAAGGGATGTGAGGATTCATGTGAACAGGTTCATTAGCACGCTGCTAGTTTGGGCCTTGAGCGAGTCCATGTACTTCCCTTTCAACGCGTTAACTTTGTTCTGGACCTGCTTGTTGTCATACACAGGACCTATGTGATCGGATAACCGGTGATACACGTTATTCCATCCCAGCTTAGTTAACCCCCTTTGATTCCAGTGCAGAAGGTTCTTATGTTCAATGCATAGGTCCAGCAAATAGCTCGTCGTGTCGTCGCCCCAATGGGCACGATTGTTGGACATCTGTTCCCAGTTTTACAAGATATGATTTGGTATATGCGGTACGTATATGGTACATACAAGGTATGGCACAACACACGAGCAACAAAAAAACACCGGTGGATGAGCAAGTAAAAAGCAGGAAGCTTGCCTTGCGAGATCGCTTGGCGCATTTGGGGCATGTTTGGATGGAAGCCTAGAATAATTGCCTGGCAAAAAGTGTTGTCTGGAAGTTGCCTGAAAAATCGATAGAATCTGCCTGGCCAGGCAAGTTACAAGATAGTTCGTTTGGTTGGAAGCCTGTGCCTGCAAAGGCTAATAAAAGATACAGTACATATTTAAAAGCTAATAAAAGGTATAATACCATATTTAAACATACACTGTTATGGTCTGAAAAAACTATTGTGAATATAAAGTGTGCTTTCTTGTCTAATAAAACTTTAATTTCTTTTGTTTAAATAATATAATATATATGAAGGCAAATAAAGGATTTAAATAAATAATAGAAAACAATAACCTACACACAAAACAGTGATATCAATGAACAGTAGCTGCACCAATTTAATATCCCGCCGGTAGGAAATCCTTTTAGCAGTAACAGTAACAGTTCTAAGAAATATTTGAAATAGCATAGTGCGTTAATGGATAATTCTTCAAATATTTAATAGTAGAAGACCATCACATCGTACTTGATTGCATGCCAGGCAAACAAAGCAGCACCAGGCAACCGATTTTGCTCGCCTGGGCGTTGAAGCATTGCCTGGTGCAGGCAATGACCCAGGGTTCAATCCAAATGAGCTCTAGGCAAGCTCCAGGCCACTTGCCGGCCTGGCAAATGAGACCCAGGGCGTCAACCAAACACGCCCTTGGCACGCGGGTTGTACAACCTGGCTTCTGGTGGAGAGCAGGAAGAAGAGTACGACGGTGCCAGTGTGGGCACCGTTGAGGAGCACGACCTCTAGCCAACTATTGCGATGCAGAAAACGTGGAAACCATAGTGTTAGTTCATATTACCGACATCTAGTGAAACCCTAAACCCAAATGCGTTGGTGTGAGTGAGAGCTCCTGAAACCCTAAACCCAAATGCCGAAGACATTGGAGGCAACGTACCTAGATTCACCGGATCTGGCGATGCAAGAGACGATGATGGCGAGGAGTGGGTTGGATCCAGCGGTGGCGACAATGAACAGGATCAGCAGGAGGACGAGCAGGTCGGATCCGGAGCGGGCAGGGCTGCCTTGACAGTGCCACGGCCTGTCCGCGGTCGCTGGGGGCTGATGTAGCCGGGGCCCGACGACGTGCAGCTCCGATAGGGGAACGTGGGCGGCCGTGGTTCCGCGGCCGAACAACCCCGCCGGGCTCGGATCCGGAGCAAGCGTTCGTAGGATGGGCATGGTGTACCGGGGCGACGGCGGGACGGCGGCGAGGGGATAGGGGCTCACGCCGGCCGCGGCTCGCGCCGAGAGCACGCAAGCGGCGGCGAGCTCGAGTAAACCCTAGAGGTGCGGAGTTTGAAAAGGGAATGAGAGAGGGAGAGCCGGCCGGGCTAGGGGGTGCTTTTACGCCAGCCGAATGGCTGCTGTTGGGCTGCCGCACGGCTGGGCTGATCAGCCCAAGCAGAAGCAGCCCATCAACCAGCAATACAGCAGCCGAACACGGCCTCAGCCAAACCCATTTTCAGACCTGTTTGAGTCACTTGAACTAGTCATATGCTGTTGGGATACATGGACTACTGACATACTAAGAGCAAATAACAGCAACTAGTTTATACACAACTAAAAATTAGCCCACCTTTTCATTCACCCGTCTAGATAGTTTAAGACTAGTCTAATGATCCAAACAGACCTTTTGAGTACTTACCTGCTTTTGAATGCTTGTGAGACAAACGAATAAAATTTGCCAAGTTTGCTACTAGTGCAGTAACAGTTTCTCTCTTCGCTGGATCTTTCACTCGGTGCATGTTTAGTTCCCAAAATTTTGCAAAATTTTTCAAGATTTTCCGTCCCATCGAATCTTTGGACGCATGCATGAAGCATTAAATATAAATAAAAAATAAAACTAATTACACAGTTTAGACGAAATTCACGAGACGAATCTTTTAAGCCTAATTAGAATATGATTGGATACTAATTACCAAATAATAACAAAAGGGCTACAGTATCATTTTCTAAAAAAAATCGCCAACTAAACAAGGTCTTGAGGCGATAGTATTTCAATTTTCCCTCCTCCCCCTCCTTTTTTTCCCCTCTTATCAGAAGAGATTTCTTTTCCTTTGATGAGGAGCTCTTTGCACACGATGGTACCAATGCCATAGGTAAGCACAAGGAAAACGCACGGGATCGGATGGGATGTGCTGCTTCTTCTTGCTGTTTTTTAACTTTGCTCTTGCATACGTTTCTTGAACAACTGTAGTCTGTGCTAGTACTAATAAACTAAAAAAAATCCTATGATAAAAAACCAACCCGACCCACTCTTTAATCTCTCTTTCCCTCTGTGTGTTCAGTGTTCCACGAGGATGAGGATGATGTATTTAGGGTGATCTCCCCAGTACAGTTCAAACAATAGTAGTAGTAAATAACCCAATGGATAATCAATTCCATGGATGGATGGTTCCAACGAGGGAGACGACCCGTGGAGACCGAGCAGTAGCATAGCAGAAGAAGAATCTGATGGAACGAACCGACGACGACGAGGACGATGCAGGTTGTAGGGGCGAATTGAATGACTTCAGAAGAATTTGGTGCCGGCTCGTCCACTGTGGAGCAGGTTGTGCGCCATGTCGTCCCTGGCCTTGGTGGCGCCGTCCGACCGCACTGGGTTCTCCGGAACCGTCTCGTCGTCGGCGATGTCGCAGCGGAGCGCGGGGTCCATGCCCTCCCCGCGCGACTCGCAGATGTTGTGGAGCACGCAGCAGGCGCCCAGCACCACGGGGAGGTCCTGCAGCTTCACCTCGGTGCGCTTCTGCAGGCACGCCCACCGGCCCTTGAGGCGCGCGAAGGCGTCGACGGCGACGCGGCGGACCTCCGCCACCTTCTCGTTGAAGGCGTGCTGCGCCCACGTCAGGTTGGCCTGCGCGTAGGGCGCCAGCACCCAGTCCGTGAGCGGGAAGCTGGCGCCGCCCACCACCCAGGACCCCGCCATCATCCCGGCCGCCGCGCGCTGCTGCAGCGCCGATCGCTCCAGCACCTGGTCGTCGGGCATGGACCCGGGCCACCCGATGCAGACGTCGGTGAAGGCGCCGTCGGGGCCCACCACCCCTTGGAGCGTGATGGAGTAGGACGTCTTGTGGTTGCGCTCCGTGTGCCGGCGGTTGAAGTAGGCCGCCAACGACGTCTTGGGCGCGATGATGGGGATGTGGGTGGTGTAGATGGCGCCCACCACCCCCGGGATCCCGGACTCCGCCTGGAACCGGGCCTTGAACGCCTCGGCGGCGGCGGCGGCGGGCCAGCGGAGGAAGCGCGGCATCAGGAGGCCACGGATGGCGGCGCACACCTCCAGGACCAGCTTGTGGCAGGTGGAGATGCCGAGGCCGAAGCGCTTGGACACGAGGCGGAGCGGCTCCCCGGTGGCGAGCCGCCACACGCACACCGCCACGCGCTGCCGGACCGGGATGGCGGCGCGGAGCGCCGTGTCCTCCTTGGCCACGGCGGAGCCCAGCGCGTCGCAGAGCATCGCGAAGGTGGCGCGACCCATCCGGAAGGCGGCGCGGAAGTCCGCCTCCGGGTAGTCGGCGCTGCTGCACTGGTCCCACCACGCGCGCGACCGGTCCTTCACCCACAGCCGCCGCTGCTGGTGCGGGCCGTGGCCGTTGCCCGCGGCGGCGGCGGCGGGCGCGGACGACGACGAAGACCCTGGTCCTCCTCCTCCGCCCCCGCCGCCCCCGCCGGTCATCTCATCCTCCTCCTCCTCTTCGTCGTCGTCGTCCTGTCCCGCCTGCTGGCGAGACCGGCTGAGCTGGAAGAGGGGGAGCTCCGGGCGCGGGGCGTCGTTGACGTCCAGGGAGGTGAGCACGCTGGTGGCGGGCCTCCTCTTGTTGCTGGCCTGTCCGTCGGCGGCGTCCCCGTCGTCGTCGCCGCCGCCGCCGCCGCGCTTACGGCGCCGGCTCGTCGTCGTCGTCGTCTTGGGCATCGCGGCCTGCTGGAAATTGGAATTCGGAAGGGGGGATGGGATTGGGTTCGGAAGGGAGGAGGAGGTGGAAGTGGTCGGCGTCTC